CCCCCCCCCCCCACCGCCGGCCCCTACCGGGTCCGAAACCGGATGGGGCGGTATGCGCACTCCGTCGTGTGGACATACTGACTTCATAATGAGATAGAATTTTACAACCCCTCTCTTACGGGCGGGTTTTTTATCGAGAATTTCCTTTATTTAGGTCGGCGGCAACCAATCCTAACGGGCCCAACCAACTCGGGGAAAGGAGCTTTTATGGCAGCTCTCACTCGCCCGTCCCAGGAATTCTTTCTCAGTTGAGCATTTGACGGCGCCACCCCACACCGGGGTGGAACCACTCAACTTCCGACACCTCAGCGCCTTATGGTCCGCGCCGGCTTATTCCCACGAAGGGTTATTTACTGGTATCCACCATATCTGGTGGGCGTTCCGCTATCCGCCACCTGGGGACGCGCTCGATCGCGGAAGCGCTTCCCGACTTGGAAACCGGAGTGCGCGGGAAAGGCGTCCCCACCTCCTCACCAGGACTCCCGTCCCCCCAACCGCAGGAGAGGTGCCAAAACAAGACTGAACACCTCAAGAACGACGGCCGGTGGGCCAGGTAATAGCGTCACCGCGCATCCAGCGCTCAAGTCGGGCGTGACGAAGAATCTAACCTAACATTTTTTTTTGTTAACCCAGGGGAAATCTTCATGAATCCCCTCGGAGCCCGAGGAGACTCCGAGAGGTATGTCGGACTCTTACCAACTAAAACCCTTAGGGTTGCCGCCTCTGCGCATTTACTTGGCCCCTAGTCGGGGCCAAGTGGTTGGGGGCCGGGCATCGCGTGCAGCATTCATTCAGCACCCCTCCCTGCGCCGCTAAGGCCATCCTGACCAGGGCTTTTTCTTTGCCTTGGTCCTTCCACCAGCGGCGGAGTGCTGCACCAGACACCCCGCCGCGCCCCTCGTGGGGGGGATATAGCTACCGGAGCGTTGGTACCCCGTCCGCGGACCGATCCCCCCTTGGATCAGAGGTCTGCGGGCCTACAGCCGCGGTGGGGGACAATCATTCCTCTACCCTCCCGCACTGTCGCGTTTAATTGCCCGGGGCGGAGTAATTACCAATTGACTCCGCCCCGGACCGGTGACCCATCCCTTCCGGCGGAGGCGGCGACTATTAACATTTTTGTCCCAGGCTCCGCTGATCATCATTCTGCGGGAGGGCCGGAATTGTCCGGCTCGCCGCAATGTCTCGTTTTGTTGCCCGCAGCGGAATTTATGTTTGCTCTGCGCCACGGACCGGAAACCATTCCCGTTCGACCCTTTTTTTGGGGGCTCCTGCCCACTAGTTAGCCGCGCATTATTGTGGGGGCGGTCTCAAATTAGTGTCCACCCCCGACGGGGCCATACTCCACCCCCTTACGGTGGGCGGGTTTCTTCGGCGATGGGGACCCAGGAAGACTCGTCTCCTCCTCCTCGGTCTCTCTCCACCGCCGCCTCCGTCCTCCTCCTCATTCGTGTT